TCGAACCCGCCACCCTAGGTGTACGTGGCTAGCGCCCTAGCCGGTTGAGCTATAGGCGCCGAGCCGGAATTTTGCTTTTCAGTATAAATACGCTCCCTGTAGTATTAGTTATTGTAATAAATTCATTCTTCATAAAAAGTACTAAGAAACTTTGGATCCTTTTTGGATCCTAATGCCAGAAATTGTGTGTTCTTAAGGGTATGATTGGTTTTTAAAGAATGATATTTTTTTTGCTGTATATTTCTATAGAGGTTGGTAAATCTTTTCTGTAAAGAGGCCAGATAGTAAATGTTTCTGTGTTCATGGGTCCAACAGTTGTCTATGTCTCAGTTACACAACTCTGCTGTTGTAGCAAAAAAGCAGCCATAGACAAGAAATAAATGAAGGGATATGACTGAGTTCCAATAAAACTTTAAAAAAAAAAACAGGCAACTGACTGAATTTTGTTTTGGGGTCTTAGTCTGCCAATCCCTGCTGTTTGAGAAGAAGGTTAGTTAATAGTTAATTCCCCTATGGAATTAAATAGTGGTTATTCCAGTTGTCATTAATTTATTTTTGTTAACATTATATGTACTCATTTGTTTGTTTCTAAATAGGAGCACCTAGGCTAAAATGTCAAGAACTGTTGAATTATATTATGGATATAGTGAAAGATTCATCTAATGGTGCCATTTATGGAGCTGATTATAGCAACATTCTGCTCAAAGACATCCTTTCTGTGAGAAAATATTGGTGTGAAATATCTCAACAACAGTGGCTAGGTAAGTATTGAAGGTGCTTGTGAATTTTTTCTTGTGCAGTAAAATTTCACCAAAAAAAACACTCTGCCTGTGTCTTTCATATGACAGTACTTTAGTTAAATTGTATGGTTATAGAATTTGATGTTTAATTTTCATTTATCACTTACGTACCTCTTGAATTAAGTGACTAATAGTATATTAGGTGCCTGCATTGGAACTGAAATTTTAGAGTGAAACATACCATTCCTATTCTCAAGTTGATAGGGGTAGAAAAAAAAAACTAAGTACACCAGAAGTAGAATATGATACAGATGTTTGGCAATAGTAGATACATGGGACGATGACACCTAAACTTAGCTATGATTAAAATTGAAAGGAGGAAACCAAGGAAGAGAAAAGTATCAAAAAAGTGAAAACTTGGCTTGCCGCCTGAAGTACAGTGGTTACAATGCCAGCCACATACACCGAAGTTGGTTTGAACCCAGCCCAGGCCAGCTAACCAACAATGATAACTGGAACAAAAAATAGCTGGGTGTTGTGGCAGGCCCCTGTAGTCCCAGCTACTTGGGAGGCTGAGGCAAGAGAATCTCTTAAGCCCAAGAGTTTGAGGTTGCTGTGAGCTGTGACGCCACAGTACTCTACTGAGGGTGACGTAGTGTGAATCTGCCTCAAAAAAAAAAAAAAAAAGTGAAAGCTAAAGAGTTTGAAGTATGAAGGAGTGTGGTTAACATTTTCGGTGTTGTAGAAAGGATAACGGATAATAGTGTTAGATTGGGTTATTAGTGGATTACTGGTAAGGTAATGGAAATCAAATACATTAGAAGAGAATGTATTAGAGTAGAATATACAAGACCTGGTGACTCACTGGATACAAAAAATGGGTGCCAGGGAGCAATCTGTTGTTGTTGCCACTTTGTAGCTAAGAGGTATTGAGAGACCACAAAGGAAGGAAGTTATGGTAAGGGAGTGAAATATTTCAGTTTATAGATTTCAGTGGTAGAGCAATTACAGGTCTGAGAATGGGTTGATGTGGGATTTCAGATAAGCCTGGTGACTTTAAGCCAGATTTTAGAGTCTTCCATAAAATGTATCAGCTCTAAAAATTAAGAAATTTCTCTTTTTCATTGAAAAGGGTTTAGGATAAATTCCACTAAGATACATTTATATACAGTATATTCTTTCTTTCTAATTTATCATTTGAGAATGAGATATATATGTGAAGCACAAACGAAGTAGTGCTCTCACTCACTTCTACATTACACTCTACCGTTCTTGCATGAATAACAGTGGAGAAAAATCAGTGACACAAAAAGTTTGTTCTTTGAAAACAGTGGTAAAATTGGTAACCTTTAGCAAGAGAGACTACAATTAAAAGATGGCCTCGTGGGGTGGTGAGTACCTGTGGGCCTAGCTACTCAGGAGGCTGAGGTGAGAGGATCTAGTCTCACTTTCATCTCTAAAGAGGAAAATTACTGATAATAGAAACAAATATAGTTGCTGGCCTGGTTGGTATTAAAAGAGTAATAAGGAACCACAAGGAACAGCTCTGCCCATTAACGTCATTTAAAAGGATAAATTTCTCAAAACTGTGTTATCAAATCTTACCCCATCTGAAATGGATAATTTAAATAATGTTTAACTGTTATATTGAATCTATAATTCAAAGCCTTGCACAGACAAATTGGGAACAAGGTATAAGTGTCCACTTAACCAGTCCTTTTTAACATTGTTCTGGAGGTTCTAGCCAGGGCAATTAGGCAAGAAAAAGAAATAAAATGCATGTTGATTGGAAGGAAGAAATAAACTACCCCTTTTTACATATAACATGATTATCTATGTATAAAGTCCCAAGGAATCTACATTTACTTTTGCTTGAGTTTTTATTTTATCCAAGAACTACTTTTTCATACTTAATTATTTTACAGTCTGCATTTTGAGCTTTTTTGTTTTTGAATTCATGGAAGAAATGAATTCTTCTAGGGGAATACACTGCAGCCTTTTTGAAGAACCTTGACTCTACTTTTGGAGACTTCTGTTGAATGTCTTAACCAGCCTTTTACTATCTGCGAGGGTAAAATTTGGATCATTTTAGCTCAACTAAGATAAAGCCCTAGATTCTGTGCTTTAATTAGAGACAATTATTTGCATTGTTGGCTTTTTCTATTTCACTCTGTCTACCAGTGAGGAGGAAATAATAAAGAAGTCCCCTCTTGTTTTCTTCAAGTTTGTGTATATAAACCCAGATATTTTTATGATTGTCCATTTCATGCAGTGAAAACACCTTGGGGTTCACTGGTATAGACTTCTATTAATAATATCAGATAGTATGATAGAGATCATTTAAAAGCTTATTTTCCTTAGTATGTAATGTTTAGGGTATATTTATATTCCTTTTCTTGTGTTTAAAGTCTCTCATTTTAAGCTATTTAATCCATTTTTGCAGATTCATGTGACGTTTACAGTTGAAAAGGAAGATACCCATAGGTGTTATTCTTACCCACTTTACTAACTGAAGACTGACTGTCTCTTACTGGGAAGACAACCATGTGTTAGCAGCTTTCCTTTTCGTTGTATAGGGTGACAGGTCTCATTGCATTTTGTATTTCTGCACATATTGCAAACAGAAACACTACTATTTTTTTTTCAGATTTTGTCTTCAAAGATGTTTGTATAGTTAACATTCTTGCAAGACAAAGCTGATAGCTTCCTCCAGAATAAAAGGTTTACTTGCTGCCCATTCATTATTAAAAAACTTGGGGTTTCTCTGTAGCAACATAGCTGACTGAAACATGTCAAGTATCCCTCTTTATGTTGCCCTTGAGATTGGGGGACTGATGCAAAAATGAAGGTAGTCCGGCTACCGTCATTGCTGTGGGAAATAAACTGTTTTTCTCTGATCAAGAATCTCATGTCTTCTGTCAGCATCTGTCCAACTGTAATGATCGTAAGTAGAGTAAAATTTCACACTCTTTATAGTTTCCAACACATTTTATGCACCTTATTGATCAAACATCATTAATAAAAAACCAAAAACTGTTGAGTGTGCACTTTCTCAAGTGCTTTGGTAGGCCTAGGTGAAGGTACTTAGGCTTAGAGATATTAATCTGGTGCTTTCGCTCTTTATTGCCTGCAGTTCCTATACTAAAGACATTTTATATAGAAGTGAATATTGATGGAGTTCTTTTATTGTGTTAAATGTAAGTTTGTGTAATGTATAGGATTGTGGAATAGTTAAATTGCATTGTGACATTTAGCTTCATTTGCCTTTTTTAAATAAAAAATCCTAATGGTTTTTTTTGTTTGTTTTTTTTAAGAATTATTCTCTGTGTACTTCAGGCTGTATCTCAAACCTTCGCAAGATGTTTATAGAGTTTTAGTGGCTAGAATAATTCATACTGTGACCAAAGGATGTTGTTCACAAACTGATGCATTAAATTCCAAATTTTTGGAGTTTTTCCCCAAGGCCATTCAGTATGCAAGGTAATATGTTCTTTTTTTGTTGTGTTATGTATTGAAATACATTTTATCCTCTTTCAAGACCATGTTTTAGGTTAATAACTAAAAAATAATACCTTTTAAAATAAGCTTTGGCCCATTATAATAGAACTAGTGGGTCCTGCAGAGATAGTCCAGTCCAGCTCCCTGAAGGTCCCATGCATAGAATGGTGGTGCTCTTCAATGGATTCATCCAGCTTTTCTAATGACAAAGAAAATTTAATGTTCTCTGAGTAGTTTGATTTTCCTCATTTTGAAGATAAATGTTGTATAATGAGAAAAAAATAAAATACGAATATATTCTGGAGGTATTAGTATTGTATGTTTGTGTAGTATTACCTAATTTATAATGTGAAAGATTCTAAAGTGGTAAATATCACCTATCAGTTTTATTTTTAGACACTGTCTCAGTAGCAGGCAGAGCTAACAACAGGAGTAGTCTCTTTGCACAAATAAGAACTAATTTTTTGTTTCCATGTAGTACTGCTATGATTTTTTATGACTACTTTTGAAATTAAGGCTATTGTTTAAAAATTAGGGTTTTTTTCCCTTCTGCATGCAACTTGTAAGTGTCTTTAATTCACACAGTTTGTTCCCTCTGTTCTGCCAACGTGAGTTTATTTGTTTTCTGTCACAGACAAGAAAAGAGCTCTGCAGGTCTGAATCATATCTTAGCAGCGCTTATTATCTTCCTCAAGACTTTGGCTGTCAACTTTCGAATTCAAGTGTGTGAATTAGGAGATGAAATTCTTCCTAACTTGCTTTATATTTGGTCTCAACATAGACTTAATGATTCCTTAAAAGAAGTAATAATTGAATTATTTCAACTGCAAATTTATATCCATCATCCAAAAGGAGCCAAAACCCAAGAAATAGGTATAAAGGAAGTATTTACAGATTTAAATTTGCTTCTTTATTAAAACATAGATGCTTAAGCATACAATCAATACTCTGTGGAAGGGTATTACCTTCCTTTGCATTTCTCTTCTTGATAATGTCAGTCATGAGAATGTTTTCTGTAAAATTTTTAGAATTTGAAGCAGTAGTAACAGATTGTATCATGCCTTTCTATTTGTTCAATACAAAGTGAGGTATTATGGGGAATGCAAACAAATGTGGGATACTTTTCTCTTTAGGAGATGATTCTCCCTCAGTACTTATGTACTAAGTGGTCTGACACATTATAGGGCAAAAGAATTTAAAGTGGGAATTTTTTTTGTGTGTGTGCAGTTTTTGGCTGGGGCTGGCCAAAACTTGAACCCGCCACTTCCGGCATATGGGGCTGGCGCCCTACTCCTTTGAGCCACAGGTACCACCCTAAAGTGGGAATTTTTTAGGGTGCACATATTGCATTTATTAGAAATAAAATGGAATTTTTTAGGGTGCACCTATTGCATTTATTAGAAATAAAATGGATAAACTGGACTGAAAACAGATGCAGTTCTCAAGACAGATATATGCATAATAACTTCATAGAAACATGAGGTGGGAAGGGGAAATTGTTGCCTTAAACCTCATAGTTACTCCAGGCCTCTGATTGCTGGGAAAATCAGAAATGAATCACCTGTGTTCCTTCTTGATCCCACTTGTCTTTCACCAAGAGAATATTGCTGGGATGATGATGTTCTTATCAGTAGGTAAAAACTTTACTGGGTGGAACTAGAAATGAATGAACTCTCCCCATGCTCAGCCTATGGATTGCTTTTGGTCTTTTGGTTGCCTTTGGACCAATTCATTATAATGACCATATTAAGGTAGCATACCACATTGAGTAAAAGCTGCTAAAATGAAGGAAAGCTGTTGTAGCCACTTTTTTATATTTTTAATTTTTTTGAATTTTTAAAAATTTTTTGTAGATTTGGGGTCTTGCTGTGTTGCATGGGGCTTGAACTCCTGGCCTCCTGCTTGGCCTTCCACAGTGCTGAGTTTACAGGCATGAGCCACCACACTCAGCCAGTAGCCACTTTTTATGGAGAGTAGCTATGTATGCTTCATGGCTCTTCTACTGTGTGTGTCGAGATACATGTGTAGCCCAGGAAACCACCGTAAGTCAAAGAATGGTGGCTTTTCACAAGTTTTTTTTCCATCTTTCATCTAGTTCCTCTCACTAGCATAAAGATCAGGCTTATTAGCAGGTGTTACGGCATGTTTAGCATTTTAGTTAATTACTTCTTCAGGATGATTTGAAAATTGACAGAATGATGAACCTATTAGAGAAGCTAATATTGTTTTAGGCTACATTAATAGATTTTTTGGTACCTTGTTTGTGGGATTTAATAGCTCTATTGTTCCTCGTAATAGACCACAGTTGGAGTTCTGTGTTCTCTAGATTTTGTGGAGTCAGCATTTTAAGATTGACAGAAGTTGAGTGGAGTGTCTTGGGAAAAATGACTGGGATGGTGAAAAGTGTGGATAACGTGTCATTTGTAAACTATTTGAAGGAACTAGTAATGCTTTTCTCTAGACAAAGACATAAGGAGAACTCAGTCATCTTGCAAAAGAGGAATCATTTTATTTTCCTCGGGAGAGAAAATAAATTAGAGAAAGGTGGATTTTAGATCAGAATATGGATGAAATTTAGGTAACAAATACAATTAATACAATTACCTGAATGTAAAATGGGCACTGTTATGAAGTAGAGTTTGTCAAGAATGTTTTCAGAAGATGCATTAGTACTGACTGGAAAGTTGGACCAGATGTCTTCTAATATCAATGCACCTTGGCAGTGAAATAATTTGGAGAGTATTGGTCTATATACTTATTACATTTTTATTTTTTGGATTGCAGGTGCTTATGAATCAATAAAATGGCAAAGTATTTTATACAACTTATACGATCTGCTGGTAAATGAGATAAATCATATAGGAAGTAGAGGAAAATATTCTTCAGGATATCGTAATATTGCTGTCAAGGAAAATTTGATTGAATTGATGGCAGATATTTGTCACCAGGTATAGTAAATAGGTCATGTCATGTTTCAAAATTTCCTGTTAATTCTCCTTTTACTGGGCTTTAAAAATTTATATCCTAATAAGAAGCCTATAGAATCATTCTGCGTATGTAACTGTCCTTTTAAAATACCAAAAATATTTGTAATTACCCTTTTAATGTAAATCTTTTTGCAGGTGTGGACTTAGTGAAAACTAATATGCGTTCTTAAAAGATTGTCTGTAGGAAATAAGGAGACTCTAACCCTAGTGGTTCTTTTTGTTAATTGATTCAGAATTCACATCTATTTTAACAGGTGCAGTTCAGGCTGGGCATGGTGGCTCATGCCTATAATCCCAGCACTTTGGGAGGGCAAGGTAGGATGACTGCTTGAGGTCAGAAGTTTGAGAATGTACTGGGCAACATGGTGAAACCCCGTCACTACAGAAAATAACTTAGCTAGGCATGTGCCTATACTTCCAGCTACTTAGGAGGCTGAATCAGGAGGATTGCTGAGCCCAAGAATTCGAGGCTGCAGCGAGCTCTGATTGCACCACTGCACTTGAGCCTGGGCAACAGAGTAAGACCTTGTTTTTATGCACAAAAAAGGAAAGAAAATTGTACTGTACTGTTCAGTGGTTTTTAATGTTTCTACTATGTTACGCATCCATTACTACTAATTTAAGAACACTTTTATCACCCCAAAAAGACACCTTATTCCTATTTAGCATTCACTTCTAACTCACTGTTTCATCAGACACTCATCTACTTTACCTCTATGGATGTGCCTATTTGGACATTTTGTTGAAATAGACACATACAGTGTGTTGTAGTCTTTTGTGTCTGGCTTCTCTTAGCATGTTTTCAAGGTTCATTCATGTTGTACCATGAATCAACACTTCTTTTCTTTTTATGCCTCAGTGATATTCAGTTGTATGGATGTACTACACTTTGCTTTTCCATTCATCAGTTGATAGCCTGTTTCTTTTTTTTTTTCTTTTTTTGAGACAGAGCCTCATTTTTGACTCTTTTACCCTTGACAGAGTGGCTTGACGTCATAGCTCACAGCAACCTCAAACTCTTGGGCTCAAGCAATTCTCTTGCTTCAGCCTCCCAAGTGACTGAGACTACAGGTGCCTGCATCAATGCCCAGCTATTTTTAGAGACAGGGTCTTGCTCTTGCTCAGTCTGGTCTGGAACCTGTGAGCTCAGGCAATCCACCCGCCTCAGCCTCCCAGAGTGCTGGGATTACAGGTGTGAGCCACTGCACCTGGCCAGCCTAATGTTTCTTAAGTAAGACTTTTTCTTCCCAGAGATTTGATTAACTGCGTTAAGTAGTAATTTCACTGTGTCAAATATTTTTTTTTTACTGTGTCAAATATTTTAATAGTAAATTAAAACATTTAATGTCTTTGAAAATATAGGGTTTTTTCCTTGACTTTTATTTTTCTTGGTGCTTTAGTAAATATTCCCACCAAATAAAACTAATACATCACTTCCTGAGAGGACTGTTACTTTTAACTGTCACACAAAATGTTTATTTCTTACTATGTGTCATATTTCTATATAATTTATTACTCTTGCATTATAAGTTCCCTGTATGTTCATTTGAGAAGGAATGTTCCCACCAATCACATTCCTTCTCAAATGAACATACAGGGAACTTATAAAGCAAGAGTAATAAATTATTACATAGAAATATGACAACATAGTAAGAAATAAACATTTTTGCTTCATCCTATAAGGGTACATGTGAATCTTTCTAAATGTAGAATATAAATGTCTTAACACTGTAACTAAGAAAATGACATGAACACTATGTTAACCAGTTTGATGAAAGTATTTCAAATTGTATATAGAAACAGCACACTGTACCCCATGACAATATTAATGTACACAGCTATGATTTAATTAAAAAAAAAAAGAAGAGAAGGAATGTTTATTTTCTTAATGAATTATGAAGAGGACAATAGCAATGAAAAAAGTGAGTTTATTTTTCTTTTACAGGTTTTTAAGGAAGATACCAGATCCTTGGAGATTTCTCAGTCTTATACTACTACACAAAGAGAATCTGGTGATTATAGTGTACCTTGCAAAAGGAAGAAAATAGAACTAGGCTGGGAAGTAATAAAAGATCATCTTCAGAAGTCACAGAATGATTTCGATCTGGTGCCTTGGTAAAATGTTACTTTTTTCTCATTTAGTGTCATTTTAGTCTCATTTATTTTTCTCAGAAAACTTCCAGTAGTTTTCATCTTACTGGCCAGCACTAACTCATTTGACTACTCCCAAGCCAATTATACTAGCAAAGGGAAATGTAATTGCTGTGACGTGTTGAGGTCAGTCATTAATCTGCTAGAACCAGGGGCAGGCCCACCTTTCCTAATCACATTGCCATAGCAAGGTAAGAGGAGAGACTGGCTGTCTGGTAGGCAATCAGTAGTATCTGCCTGATGGAATTCACTGAGTTGTACACCTCAGCATGAGATTTAATATGCATAATACCTTCAATACAGTAGAATTAGAATAGGAAGAAATTAAAGATAGCCTTCAGAAATCACAGAATATTGAGCTTATACCAAGGTAAAAGGTTATTTTATTTTCTATCTTCTTTATTATATAGCATTCACAAATATTTAAATAGAATAAATGAGGGAATTCTGTGGAAATATAAAATGTTAGGTCTGATAGGGATGTTTAGAATTTATCCAGTTCAGCCTATTTGCTTTACTGAAAGAAAAATTGAAACCCAGAAAGATTAAGCAACTTGCTTAAGGACAGTTAAAAATCTGTAATCAAAGTTGATTGATTGATTTCTTTTGGTTTTACCATGCTGGTGAAATGTTTAAATATAAGTGACTTGTGGGGTAAAAGCTTATTGATTTAGATACCTATTACTTAAGCTCATGTTGAGGGTGCCTATTTCAGATTCTTTAATTTGTCTATTTAGTCAAAAGTTATTGAATACCTGTGTGCTAAGCATTAGGGATACAGAGATGAATTACATAAGGTTCCTAAAGTAACATACCTGTAGGGAATTCACAGCAAACATTTACTGAATTAACTGAATTAATGTCAAGGAAAAACAGATTTGGGGGTTTTATTGTTTTCCTATTTTAGGGGAATAATTTTGGTGATGAAAGAACAAAATGGCAAGATAATTCAGAAGTAGCAGGTTGCTAATTCATTATCCTTTCAAATTTTTATTTAAGAGAATTGTAACAACTTAGCCAAAACATCAGTCTTCCTGCCACTTTAGAATATTGGACCTAGTAATTATTGAGCTAGTTTATTTTGACAGTAGTGTGGAAAATGATGATGGTGAAATTATTGTAAGTAGAATATCAAAAGGGTACCCTGTCTATATATTCTCTTAGTTTGTTAATGAGACTAAATGGTTTTTACATTATCCTCTTTGTGCATATTTTTATTTTGGATAGATATAAGGTATGTATGACTGGGTTACATTGTTTGCATTTGTTAGGTAGGATGTGAGTTATATTTGAGTCCTTCACCCAGGAGGTGTGCTATATGGCCCTGCATTGTACCCATTACGTGGAAGCTTACCAAGCCTCCTCCCTCTCTTCCTCCCTCTCCCATACTTGAATTTAATTGTTTTTCTCTCATGTGGGCCTATAGTTGTTCATTTACTAGTTTCAAATTAGTATTGAGTATATAGGCTGGGTTTCTATTCTTGAGACATTTTACTAAGGAGAATGTTCTTTAACTCCATCCAGGTAAATGCAAAAAATGTAAAGTCTCCATCCTTTTTGTAACTGAATAGTATTCCATGGTATAAATGCACCATAGTTTATCGATCCATCTGTGGATATCCTCTTTTTTGTTTTCTTTTAGGCTACAAATTACAGCTCAATTAATATCAAAGTATCCTGTGAGTTTACCTACCTGTGAGCTATTTCCACTACTGATGATACTATACCAGCTTTTGCCTCAACAGCGACGTGGGGAGCGCACACCATATGTGTTACGATGCCTTATGGAAGTTGCATTGTGTCAAGCCAAGAAATCAGACCTAGAAAGCTCACAAAAGTCAGATTTATTGAAACTCTGGAATAAAATTTGGTCTATTACCTTTCGTGGTTTAAGTTCTGAACAAATACAAGCTGAAAGCTTTGGCTTAGTTGGAGCTATAATTCAAGGTGGTTTAGTTGAGGTTGACAAAGAATTCTGGAAATTATTTACTGGGTCAGCTTGCAGACCTTCGTGGTAAGTTTAATATGATTGTGTCTGATTTTATAAGTATATACATACATGCATACACACCCATCCCTGATTATTTTCAAAGTCTGTTACTTCACTTAAAGAAAAGTTAAATTCTCTTGTCCCTAGGTTATGAATGGGATAGATTCCGTAGGTTTGTTCTTAAATTGAATTTGTATGTAAGTTGGAACAAGTACATTTACCTCTGATTACTTGTAATAGCCTCTTTTCATAACTGTGAGTTGTATGTCAGTCAGATGCTTGTAACTTGGGACTAACTTTAATAGTCCTTGTTCATAAGTGCGAGTTGTACATAAGTCAGATGTTTGTAAGTTGGGGATCACCTGTATTTCAGATGCTTTCGTTATTTGGCCAAGGAAGCCTTAATAAATGCATAAGCAAATGTGAATTTAGTTTCAAATGTAGAGAGAGTACTAAAGGCTGGTTTTAAAGAATTTCTTTTTATAAATCATAAGATTTTTTGTTTATTGTTTATACGTAATAGATATACATATTTTCAGCATAGATGTGATAATTTCATACACTTACGTAATCAAATCAGGGTAATTTGGATGTAAGAGGTTGCCAAAGGATGGATACACATTCTAAGAAAGGAAAAAACTATTAATTTGAGGGTCTAAAAAAAAATTGTAATGCTCAAGTCATCTTTGACTTGTGCAATTACAAGAGATACATGGTACAGTATCAGTATTTATTCAGTATTATACTTCGTTTTTTTTTTTTTTTTTTTGAGACAGAGCCTCAAGCTGTCCCCCTGGGTAGAGTGCCGTGGCATTACAGCTCACAGCAACCTCCAACTCCTGGGCTCAAGCGAGTCTCCTGCCTCCGCCTCCCAAGTAGCTGGGACCACAGGCGCCCGCCACAACGCCCGGCTATTTTTTTTTTGGTTGCAGCCGTCATTGTTGTTTGGCGGGTCCAGGCTGGGGATTCGAACCCGCCACCTTAGGTGTACGTGGCTGGCGCCTTAGCCGGTTGAGCTATAGGTGCCGAGCCCAGTATTATACTTTGAATACAGATTTTTCCTTTCTTAAAATGTGTATGCCTTTTGTTGGCACCCTCTGTACATCACCTTAAATATTTATCTTCTCTTTTTAGTTAGGAACATTTGAGTTACTCTCTTCTAGCTATTTTGAAATATACAACAGATTGTTTAGTCATTCTACTGATCTATCAAATAACCAGATCTTGTATCATCTATAAATATGTATTTATATCCAAAAGAATTTCTTCAAAGAATTATTTATTTTAAATTTCTTTTATAGGTAATTTGTAATTTGTTCAATATTCATAAAACTAGTTTTTTTGTAGTACTGTGTGCTGTTATTTTAAGAGTTTTTTTTTTTTTTTGAGACAAAGTTGCCCTTGGCAACTCTGTCCTTTGCCCTTTGTCATCCTTGGGAGAGTGCTGTGGCGTAAGCTCACAGCAACCTCAAACTCTTGGGTTCAAGTAATTCTCTTGCCTCAGCCTGCCACGTAGCTGGGACTACAGGTGCCCGCCACAATGCCTGGTTGTTTTTAGAGACAGGGTCTTACTCTTGCTCAGGCTGTTCTGGAACCCGTGAGCTCAGGCACGCTATCCATCTCAGCTTCCGAGAGTACTGAGATTACAGGCGAGTCACTGCACCTGGCCAAGAGATAGTTTGTAATCAAGTATTTTCTCAAATGTCATTAGACTTTTTTCAATTTTTGTGTTTAGGTAGTCAATAAAAGTTGAATAAATTGACTACATGTATATGCCTGGCACTGTTGTCAGCATTGGAAGCACAGTGATAAATAAGATAGACATGGTCTCTGTCCCTCAAAGAGCCTACTTTTAACAATTTGTTGTCTTCTTTTTTTTTTTTTTTTTTGTTACAGTCCTGCAGTACACTGTTTGACTTTGGCACTGACAGTCAGTATAGTTCCAGAAATGGTAAAAATGGGAATAGAGCAAAACATATGTGAAATAAATAGAAGTTTTTCTTTAAAGGAATCAATCATGAAATGGCTCTTACTCTATCAGTTAGAGGATGGCTTAGAAGACAGTACAGAACTGCCTCCAATTCTTCACAGGTAATTTCAGTCGATTAGCATGCTTCCTATTTTTGGTTTTACAAGGCTCCTTTCACTTACTTGATACCAGATAGCTTTATTTTATAGTGGTAATACAGGATTTCTCAGAATTAGCCTTATACGTTCCCTTTGTTTTTATAGTGTTCTGTGTTTTGGGGCCTAGATCACTTCTGAAATAAAGAAAAGTGTGAGAATATAGGGGGTCTGCATGAAGAATATGCATGTAATTCTTTGAATGTTTGTGTTCCTTTGTGATCTAATATAAACAGATCCATATATCTAATTTAGGTGGATCCTGGATCCTTAGTTGTAATCAGAGTATCTTCTGGGTGAAATATTTATATTTGGGTTAGATCACAAGGGGAAGACGAAATAGGACTTACGCACTAGGAAAAGGTTAACCTTGCCCACTTAACCTTTCCACTGGTGCTAATTGGCACTGAATGATTGGGAAACAGATCTTTAGATCCTAGTACACTTGCTTTAATGTCACAACCTTTTATGTATTTAAGAAATGATTTTAAAAAATTAGATATGATTCTGCTTCTAAGTAGTATTGAACATGGTAGTAATTTAATGTGTGTTCTGTTTAAATTTTTCTTTCAGATATTAAGAAATCAGTAGAGATGAAAGTAATTTTAATTTGGATCCAAATTTTAGAGGTCGAGATTTATAGCCAAAAGTGGGTGTTAAAGTTTAAAGAATTCTGTAATTGGCTTTTAGTGTTTAAGTGAATCTTCTTATTTGTCTTTATAGTAATTTTCCTCATCTTGTAGTGGAGAAAATTCTTGTGAGTCTCACTATGAAAAACTGTAAAGCTGCAATGAATTTTTTCCAAAGTGGGCCAATATGGTATGTTATCTAATAATAGTTTTGTGTTATTTTAAGATACTAGCTTTAGGCTCGGCGCCTGTGGCTCAAGTGGCTAAGGTGCCAGCCACATACACCTAATGTGGCAGATTCGAATCCAGCCTGGGCCTGCCAAACAACAATGATGGCTGCAACAAAAACAGAAAAATTAACAGGGCATTGTGGCGGGCGCCTGTGGTCCCAGCTACTTGGGAGGCTGAGGCAGGAGACTCGCTTGAGCCCAGGAGTTGGAGGTTGCTGTGAGCTGTAATGCCACGGCACTCTACCTGGGGAATAGCTTGAGGCTCTGTCTCAAAAAAAAAAGATACTAGCTTTAATTACAAAGATAATTTTAGGGTAGTAGCTACATATTAATTATGAACTAAATTGGTCAAGTAAAAGAAAAAGTGATAACTGTTAGGGAAAAACTTTTTATTCAGTGACTGTGATCTATGTACTGTAATATAAGATTACTCTTTTGTTTTTGCAGTTTTTGGCTGGGTCCAGGTTTCAACCTGCCACCTCCAGTATATGGGGCCAGCACCCTACTCCTTTAAGCCACAGGCGCTGCCCTAAGATTACTCTTTTTTAATGCTGTGCAGTTTAACATGACAAGTGCCACTGGGAAAAATTAAATGGCTGATAGGAAATTAATAACATAAAGTTTATGTGAACTGAGTTCTTAAAGATGTGACCCATTTTTGTACATTAAGGAAGATTTGACATATTTAAAAACTAATGATCATTGAAAACAAGAATAAATCTAAAAACCTGATTTAAGAGACTTATGTTTTATCTCTGTGACTAAAAATGACTCACTTGATCTCCCTCAAGAGGGCATAAAATGGCCTGATGTGGGGGCTCATGCCTATAATCCCAACACTCTTGAGAGGCCAAGATGGGTGGATTGGCCTCAGCTCACAGGTTTGAGACCAGCCTGAGCAAGAGTGAGACTCTATCTCTAAAAAAAAAAAACAAAGCTGAGTGTTGTGGTGGGCACCTGTAGTCCCAGGTACTTGGGAGGCTAAGACAAAAGAATCACTTGAGCCCAAGAGTTTGAGGTTGCTGTGATCTATGACACCAGGGCACTCTACCAAGTGTGACAAGTGAGACTCTGTCACAAAAAAAAAAAGCATAAAATGAAAAATATCCTACATTTTGGAGAAACTGAAGGTGAAAAAAGGTACATGTTTTCAGATAGTGTTATTCTCAATGTTTATTTCCTGTGTTTTGTTTTTAATTATTTCTGCATTTGCTTTTGAAATTGTAACTTGTATTTCTCTTGTTTGTGATAGTCGAGTTTGCTACTGAATAATGAAATTTGATACAAGTAGGTATCAGCCCAAATAAGAGAAACACTTAAATGAATATTAATTGTATAAGCAGTCTTTGAATGATGTAGATGCTAGGTTGTGATTCATTTATAATACATTGGTAATTATATATTAGCATTAAGCTGAAGCATTAGGTAGTTTGATTGTAATTAAATATCTTACTTATTTGAAGTGAACACCACCAAAAAGGTAAAGAAGAACCTTCCTTCTCAGAAGTAGAAGAACTGTTTCTTCAGACAACTTTTGACAAGGTGGACTTTTTAACCTATGTTGAAGAAAGTAGTACTGAAGAGCACCAATCTAGTATTGGCTTTTCTGTCCACCAGAATCTGAAGGAATCACTGGACCACTATCTTTTGGGATTATCAGAACAGCTTCTGAATTATTACTCATCTGAGGTGAGATGCTAGAAGAAAGAACTAAAGCTTATGTTTAACTCAACTATGGTAGACTGTCAGGAGGGAGAGATAGCGGCAGGAAAGGCACTCGGGATGGTGACAGGCTTGGTTTTAAAAGTAAAATGACAGTATTGGAATACAAATAGACAACACTTGGCATGAACACAGGAAAACTGATGAAAAATTTGAGTATTTCTTTGTACTGGGAATTCTAGCAGATGTAAAAGAATTATGTAGGCTTGTGGGAAATATTACGGGTTTTAGCATAGGGAGTATGTGATGAGGAGAACCTCTCAAAACATAGGAGGGAGATAGTGCAGTAACAGAAAGGGACACAATTTAAACAGATCTAAAGGGTTTTGGTGATATTTGAAGAAAGAGGACGGTAATAAAGATAATAAATGGACTTGCAGTTTCTCCTTGTTTATTTTGTTTTTTTTAATTTCAGGTTAATGTGAGGGTACAAGCAAGCAGGTCAGAGTGTTTGAGTTTTTTAGGTAGAGTCCATCTTGTGGTTGTGTCACACACCCAAAAGATGTCCCACATACCCCTACATTGTACCCATTAAGTGGAAACACACCAATCCCCCCTTCCTCTTCTCTTCCTCTCCATTCCCCCTACCCCCAACTTGAATTGAGTTTTACTCCTGTGTGAGTGTGGGTATGTATTAGATCGTCTACTAGCTTCATAGTATTGAGTACATTCGATATTTGCTTTTCCATTCTTGTGATATTTACTAAGAAAAATGTGCTTCAACTCCATCCAGGAATTACAAAAGATATAAATCTTTTTATACAAAAGATACAAAGTCTTCATGTTTTTTAGTGGCTGAATAGTATTCCATGGTATACATATACTATAGTTTGTTAATCCATTCCTGGGTTGGTGGGCATTTAGGTTATTTTGACATCTTGGTGCTTATAAATTGAGCTGCAATAAACAGTCCAGTACAGATGTCTTTATGATAAAATGATTTTGTTTGTTCCTCTGGGTAGATGCCTAGGTAGGGGGAGCGGTTCAAATAGGAGTTCTGGTTTGAGTTCTGTGAGGATTCCCTATATTTTCCAAAGAGCTTGCATGAGTTTGCAGTATCATTTCCCTTTTATTTTAGAGGTCATCCAGGAATTTCTCATCTATGATTTTTTTTTCCTGATAAAATTACAAATTCTCTTCATATGTGCTATTCTCTTGCCAAAGCTCCCATTTGTTTCGACAAATGTCTTTCTACTTACTTCTTTGTATTTAAATCATTTACTTGTCAAAATCCTTTCTTAATCTTAGCCATAGTAATTTTTCATCTTTTAATTTTCACAGTGCTTAAATTTGTGATGGAAGTTAGTATCTTCTTTCTAACATGGATATTTGCATATGTTTTGTACATAAATATCTCTTAAATTGTATCATAAGCGCCCTAAGGAGTATATATATCTTTATTAATCTTTATATCCTCCACAAAAATGCTTGGTGCTAGTTTATGTAGTCTAAAAATCTGAATAAGTCAGACACTTGTTCATCTGAAGCTTAAAATGTCATTTTAATATATCTTTATATGAATCTAATTTCTGTTCATTTCCTATCAGGCTTTTTCTTTTCTTTCATTCCTACCTCAGATATTTAAGGGCCTGTGTTTGTAATACACTGTGCCACTTTAAGAGGAGATACCCTCCTTGGTCAGTTTTTCTTGAGAAATCTGTTTATCATAACTCTACAGTGATTTCTTAGATGTTTTTAGAGGTGTTCAGAATAGGCCACTCAGGTATCTGAACTTTGTTTTTTTATATGTACAGAAAATTTGTAGTTATAAAAGGTGATTCTAGAACATGCAAAATTACTTATGAATATGTATATTTTTATTTTTGATTTACTTTAAGATTACAAACTCAGATATGCTTGTCCGGTGTTCGCGTCTTTTGGTGGGTGTTCTTGGCTGCTACTGTTATGTGGGTATAATAGCTGAAGAAGAAGCATATAAGTCAGAATTATTCCAGAAAGCCAAGGTAGGACAATTTTATGGTAATAAGGTTTTGGATAAATTTAATCAAATGTATTCCTGGGAAAATTATTATGTTTGTTTGGAAAACATCAAGTTTTATCTAGGATAACCCTTTTTTTGGTCATTTAAGCAGTCTGAGAAAAAATGATACTATGTGCCTTTCTTTAAGATTTGAAAATATTGGCTCGGCGCCTGTGGCTCAAGTGGCTAAGGCGTTAGCCACATACACCTGAGGTGGCAGGTTTGAATCCAGCCCTGGCCCGCCAAACAACAATGATGGCTGCAACCAAAAAAATAGCAGGGCGTTGTGGTGGGTGCCTCTGGTCCCAGATACTTGGGAGGCTGAGGCAGGAGACTCCCTTGAGCCCAGGAGTTGGAGGTTGCTGTGAGCTGTGATGCCACGGCACTCTGCCCAGAGGGATACCTTGAGGCTCTATCTCAAAAAAAAAAAAAAAAAAAGGTTTGAAAATATTGTAATCCAACTACAAATGTAGTAAATGAAGTAATCTCACTTTAACATTTAGTCTCATTAACATAAATACTGATTTTTGTACTTTATTTTTATTTATTTTTATTCAATCATAGTTGTGTACATTAATACTATCATGGGGTACAGTGTGTTGTTTCCATATAAAATTTGAAATACTTTCATCCAGTTGGCCAACAGAGCCTTCATGTCATTTTCAAAGTTGATGTATTAAGACATTTATATTCCACATTTAGAAAGATTCACATGTACCCTTATAGGAGAAATCATAGGCGTGATCCCAGCAATCACCCTCCCTCCACTAATCCTTCCGCCTTCCTTCCCTCCTCTCTCCCCTTTCCCCATATTCTTAGGCTAAAATTGGGTTATAGCTTTCCTATGATAGCTAAAAATTAGTTTCATAATAGGGTTGAGGACATTGGATACTTTTTCTTCCATTCTTGAGATACTTTGCTAAGAAGAATATTTTCCAGCTCCATCCATGAAAACATGAAGGAGGTAAAGTCTCCATCTTTCTTTATGGCTGCATAGTATTCCATGGTGTGCATATACCACAATATTTGTACTTTTAGAAGTTTTCTCTGTGATCAGAATACTGAATCCTTGATTAATGCTGTCAATCAAGTAGGCTGTAAGCATGAAACTCTTTTCTAGCTCTTAGCAGTAGTCTGTCAATGGTATGTTTATTGTAGAGAACAGGGTATAAGATCTGCCCTTTTTTTATTTTATAATTTTTAATTATACTGTATGATCGTATGTAACTTCAGAAAACACTTAATTTTATCACTTAAGTGAATCATTAAAAAGCAATGCTAAACTTTAATTTTAATTGGAATTTGACTTTCTGCTTCTTTTTTTAATAGTCTCTAATGCAGTGTACAGGAGAAATTATCACTCTGTTTAAAAATAAGACAAGTGAGGAATCCACAGTTGATACATTGAGAAATATGATGCATCTATGTACAAGTTGCTTGTGTAACTGTACCAAGGTAAGATATTCTAGTATAGTGTGTTCAGGCTATTGATTGCTGGTTAGTGGTATTATTGTTTTTTGGTCCATTCATAAGTTTATAATCTGATTTAAAATTAAATTGGGCCGGGCATGGTGGCTCATGCCCGTAATGCCAGCACTTGGGAGACCGAGATAGGTGGGTTGCCTGAGCTCATAGGTTTGTGACCAGCCTGAGCCAGAGTGAGATCTTGTCTCTAAAAGTAACTGGGTGTTGTGGCAGGTGCCTATAGTCTAAGCTGCTTGGGAGGCTGATGCAAGAGCATCATTTGAAGAGTCTGAGGCTGCTGTGAACTAAGATGCCACGACCCTTTACGAAGGATCACTCTGAGAGTCTCAAGTGAGACTGTCTCAAAAATATAAATAAATTAAATTGAATGGCTAATGTAATATGGAATATAGCAATAACATATGTAATCTGAGTTTTTCGTGAAATGAATTTTACCTTTTCAGAAAGTTTTCTTTTTGTTTGGTGGTTTTTTTTGGAGACAGAGTCCCCCTTTGTTGTCCCTAGTAGAATACTGTGGTGTCTGTCATAGCTAACAGGAGCCTCAGCCTCTTGGGCTCAAGTGATTCTCTTGCCTCAGCCTCCCAAGTAGCTGGGACTACAGGTACCTGCCACAATGCCTGGCTACATTTCAGGAAGTTTTCTGACATTGTATATAATTACAATGGTGACTATTTTATTGAAGAATGTTTTCTGCCTTGACTATGGACTAAGGTGTATACCACTGTACTAGGAGCAGTGAGTATCACAAAGATAAATAACTACAGAAGTTACTTTACTTTTGTCTAGATCATATAACATAACTGTGTAGAAAGACTGCTACTGTATGTAATCTTTGTTTTGATTTGAAGCAGGCTTTTGGGGTAGCTGAGCCAGCCAGAGTATTGGTAATAATTGAAAATATCTTTGAAAACTAATATTAATGCACTGCCATATATCAATATTATCAACATATATTTTTAGTTTTGTAATGTGTTTTTCTGCCTTTTTGTATAAATGGGAAAGGGGAGAAGTGGAAGAATAAACTGTTGTCTATAGTTACTGTTTACTTATGTTTAGGGTCAGTAGGTGGCACTTCAATGTTGAAGCACAATAAAGGACATGTACTATAGTTATTAGTCTAAGAAAAGAGGTTCATGTTTTTGAAGCAACTTATGTCCTGGCTCTGTTAGCAAACTATTTAATCTACATTTCATTCAAGATAGAGAAAACATTATCTGCCAAGAATAATTGTTACTTTTTTGTTGCTTGATTCTTTGTCTTAATTACAGAGGAATCCAAATAAAATTGCTTCTGGCTTTTTCCTACGACTGCTAACATCAAAACTGATGAATGACATGGCAGATATTTGTAAAAATTCAGTAAGTGTGCTTCTGTTTTACTATCGTATTTATTTATTTTTCTTTTTTTATTAAATTATAACTTTATACATTGATGCATTTATGGGGTTCAGGGTACTGCTTTGATACACAATGTGAAATGCTTACCTTGAACTTAGTAACACATCCATCACAATTATACTCATTTCTTCATAGTTTTGAAATGTACCATTGCATCACGCAAATTAGCTGAGGTCCCTCTGAATGCCCTCCTTCCTCCTATATCCCTGCTCCTCGCCCCTCTCTCTCCTCTTCCCTTCTACTTTCTGGACTATGGTTAAGTTTTACCATTCATATGAGTGTGTAGGTGATTATATAATGATTTCATAGTAGTGTTAAGTACATTGGATACTTTTTTTTCCATTCTTTTCTTTTTTTTTTTT